TCCTAACTGGTCCTAACTGGTCCTTACTGGTCCAAACGGTCGTTCCTGATGGTCTGGTGTTCTGGCTCTCATTCTTCTGTTTTATTGTCTCTTAAACAGGAAGTGACCTGTCATCATGTCCCGCCCCCCTCCCACTGACAGCCACCCATCAACACAAACAACCTGATTTATATGGTGTGTGTGTGATCCATGTTTAAAACCACACACATAATAAAAATAACCCAGACTGTGATGGAGTCTGAATACCACGTTACTGAAGAAACACTTTTAGAGTGAGAACCCTATTCACACCTCTATGACATCACACAGGTGTGTATATCCGTCTAAAACACGTTTGATGACAACATGAGTCTCCCTCCGCCCTGCAGTCAGTCCGCCAACCGACAACATCCTCCTCACCCATCCGGCTCTCCAGCTACCTGATCAATTTCCAGACTTGGTCCACATTGGGACTTGAACCAGCGACCCTCAGGTTCCCAACTCAAGTCTCGAAAGACTGAGCTACTGACACCTGACAGTAATTAACTCCCTGTGTGCTTTTATTTTGAAATAAAGTAAGGCCCTTCCTGTAGAGTGAAGGTTAGGACATGAAGTGAAGCACAGAAACAGGAAGTGGTTAGGGATCCCAAACTGAGGTCAAACAGCTCAAAGGAACGGTAACAAAGGTCAATGTGTGATGTCATGAGGTCAATGTGTGATGTCATGAGGTCAATGTGTGATGTCATAAGGTCAATGTGTGATGTCATGAGGTCAATGTGTGATGTCATGAGGTCAATGTGTGATGTCATGAGGTCAGTGTGTGATGTCATAAGGTCAATTTGGGATGTCATGAGGTCAATGTGTGATGTCATAAGGTCAATGTGTGATGTCATAAGGTCAGTGTGTGATGTCATGAGGTCAATGTGTGATGTCATAAGGTCAATGTGTGATGTCATAAGGTCAATGTGTGATGTCATGAGGTCAATGTGTGATGTCATAAGGTCAATGTGTGATGTCATCAGGTCAGTGTGTGTTGTCATAAGGTCAGTGTGTGATGTCATGAGGTCAGTGTGTGATGTCATGAGGTCAGTGTGTGATGTCATGAGGTCAATGTGTGATGTCATGAGGTCAGTGTGTGATGTCATGAGGTCAGTGTGTGATGTCATCGGGTCAGTGTGTGATGTCATCGGGTCAATGTGTGATGTCATAAGGTCAGTGTGTGATGTCATAAGGTCAGTGTGTGATGTCATCAGGTCAATGTGTGATGTCATAAGGTCAGTGTGTGATGTCATAAGGTCAGTGTGTGATGTCATCAGGTCAGTGTGTGATGTCATAAGGTCAATGTGTGATGTCATAAGGTCAGTGTGTGATGTCATAAGGTCAGTGTGTGATGTCATAAGGTCAGTGTGTGATGTCATCAGGTCAGTGTGTGATGTCATAAGGTCAATGTGTGATGTCATCAGGTCAGTGTGTGATGTCATAAGGTCAATGTGTGATGTCATCAGGTCAGTGTGTGATGTCATAAGGTCAGTGTGTGATGTCATCAGGTCAGTGTGTGATGTCATCAGGTCAGTGTGTGATGTCATCAGGTGGATATTACTGTGTGAGAGTTTGTTAAAGTGAAATGAGACATTCAGAGATGCAGCAGTGAGACTACAGGGAGACACTGAGGACGAGTATCTACGGAGAGCCTGAAGGGACAAACATGAGATTAATGTGATGAACTGTTAATGCTGACAGCTCTACTTTAGACACATCTTTATTTACAGTTTAATAATGTTTTATAACGGGATCACTGGGACTCCACCTGGTAGAGACATGTGGTGCAGTGAGTCAAACAGAGTTAAACTTTAAAATAACTTCATGTAAACTGCAGTGAATGAAGACAAACAGAAAACAGACCACATGATGTCACTTCCTGTGTGTAAGATCTGTGGTCAAACACAACAACACGACCAGCTGACAGTAAACACGTTACACAACTAAGATTTACTGACACTCACACACAGTTTCACAGTACTTACATTAAAGACAGTGTGTGTGTGTGTGTGTGTGTGTGTGTGTGTGTGTGTGTGTGTGTGTGAGATGTGAAGCCAAATGAAGAAGCACATGTGGACTCTTATAGATGTTTTGGCCTCAGGGTTTATGAACAGTTTTAACTCTGTAGCTCGCCACTGATGACAGCGGAGCTTAGTAGCGTCACTTTTGAGACAAAAGTCGTCTGAAAAAGGCGACTGACTAACAAGTTGAATCTGTGAGGATCAATAATAAATACATCTAATGATAGTAACCCTGACATCCAATGATCAATATGTCGTCTGCAAAGAGAAACGATAACCAGAATGACCAGCAAAACTTTATTGATACCAAAATGACAGAAAAAACTGACAAATTATTCCATTAAAAGTGAATTATTTAAAATGTGACGATGTAAACCGACGACAGGCAGAAAAACTGTCAAACAGATCTTTTCAAATAATCTCACTTTTAATTTGAAATATAAAAAACTAAAACCGTCTTTTTAAGTACGATCATGTTTCAGACTGTTTGCATATTTCACAATAACTTCAAACAACATTTGTGATGTTCTCATAGACACAACATTATTAACTGAAAGTTTAACAAATAACACACAGATGATGTCATAAACACTGAGATGATGTCATAGACACAGAGATGATGTCATAGACACGGAGATGATGTCATAAACTCATAGACGATGTCATAAACTCATAGACGATGTCATAAACACACAGATGATGTCAATAAAAATGTTCAGCAGAAAGTGTAAATTATGAGACAAAATGACCATCATTGTTGTTCACTAAGCCCCTCCCCCCCAAACAATGACGGTCCAATCACAGCACAGCACTTATTTCCAGAAAGAGTGTATTTGTTTATGTTCTCGAACTCACAACAAAAAGTCTGTTAGCAAGTTACCATGGTAATAGTGGGGGGGTTAGACTTAGCTAAAGGTCATTTGCTAAAAGGCTTAAAAGAAGATGCTTTTGATGCATGTAGCATTCAGGTGCAGACACATGAACAAAGACGCTCACAGTGCGTACTTTATTTTTACTTGTTAACGTTTCAGTTTTTAACTTGAATCTGACGAAAGTTTGAAGATGATGAAATTCTTAAAAAGACCACAGCAGTAAACCATCCACACTATTTTGTGTCCTCGCTGCTACTCTGTGCTGGCTTAGCCACCTTTGCTAATCTGATCTTTGTCTGCTTCCTGATTGGTAGATGACTTGGCGTCTGTGGGCGGTGCTTTCTGTCCGGATCGTACTGGCCGTTAGAGAAGGCGTGGAGAGGATTAAAGTGAACATGTTCACGCTCGTGATGTGCTGCTAACTTCACTCTGGTGTGTGTTTGTGTTGAAGCAACTCTTTCTTGGACTCTGTTTCCCTGGCAACAGGTTGGTTGTTGTACGAATGACTGATTGGGGCGAGGAAGCCATAGTGATAAGGTTTCCTCCTGCGAGGAGGAGGAGGTGGAGCCTCACTGCCGAGAGGCTGGTTAGCATCTGTTGTAGCCTCAGTGCCATCATCTGAACTTGTTGGATCTCTTTCTACATTAGCATTCCTGGAGTCAGGAGTGTGTGTTATGGACATAGTGGGGGCAGTTGGCTTTACGCTTAAATCAAATCCTTCAGTGTCAGTTTCTTTGCTTAAATGTTCTTCTTCAGCACTGGACTCATGCCCCGTATCTGTGTTAGCATTACTGCTAGCTCCAGAGCTAACTGGCACTGTGGTGTGCAAAGTAGCAGTGGTGAGGTCTTCGTCAGTGCTAACATAATGACTTGAATCAGTTGTAGTCTCTAAACTTGAATCTACTGATGCATCATTTACACTGCTGTGAAGCTCCATGCTAACTTCAGAGCGGGATGCTATGCTAGCAGTGTTAGTCCTGCTGTCTGCAGTGGGGTTAGCATCATTGGGGGTCTTTGTGGTCTGTGTTTCTTCTGACTCCTCCTGACTGATCATTAAACTGGAGCTGAAGTTTGTGACTGAACGAGGATTGAACTCAAGACTCAGACTTAAATTAAAGGTCGAGGAGTGACCAGGATGAAGTTCTGAGCTCTGAGACTCATTAGATGAATTAAGTCCACGAAAATCTAATTTAGGTCCAGAGTCTGATACACCTATCTCTTCTGATTCAGAGCTTTCAGACTCTGTTGATGTTTGAGGGGAGGGAACAGCAGGAGGAGAGGAAGAGGAGGGCAACAGGACTTCCTCACTGCTTGAGCTGACCTCTGGACTACCAGCTCTGTAGAGACCTGGTCCAGATGAGGTTGAACCAAGAACCTTTCCTGCATCATCCGTTTTATGACTCTCCTCAGAGCTGTCTGAGATTAAACCAACATTCACCTGAGAGAAGAACCTGGTACTGCCCTTAATATGAACCTGGGATATGGTGTCTTTTGGTATGTTCAAGATCGTAGGTGCAATATCCTGATCCTGACTGGCTGGGCTTAAGCTAGCACCCTCATCTGCTTGGACAGACATAACAGGAGTGTCCTGAGCCTTTTTGCTGTCTGGAACAGGAACAATCGAGTCAGAGATAGACGTTGATATGGAACCTGTGACTTGCTGTGTGAAATATCCTGAACCAGTGCCGGTATGGATACCATAGGTGGCCTCAGGACTCTCCTCACTGTCTGAACTAACACTGGTCTGATTTTCTGAATCTGGTCGGGCTCCACTGAAGCCAACAGTTTCTAAACTCTCAACACTCTCACTAGAACTCCGACTATAACCCACCTGACCACCATTTAGGGAAATTGGAGTTGCACCAAGAACCTTCTTTGTACCATCAGATTGCTGACTGTCTAAACTAACATCCATATGAGTGAGGTACTTGGCACTGTTCTTACTGTGAACCTGGGATATGGTGTCATTTGGTCCACTCAAGATCATAGAGGGTACATCCTGATCCTGACTGGCTGGGTTTAAGCTAGCACTGTTCTGGATACTGTATGTAATGACCCCGAGACTCTCTGAACTAAAACTGGTCGGACT